CCCCAAAACCCCAAAACCCCAAAACCCCACTGCTTCAAACACACATTGCCTAATATTAATATACTAATAACATAAATGGATAGCAACATAGACCAGAGAGAGCAAGGGATGGAGAACTGTGACGGAGGGGGTGAAGAGAAGTGGATAAGGGAGGAGGTTAAGAACGTATGGGGGTTAGAGGAGATACAGCTTGGAGGATATCATATTGAACAGATGTACCAAGAACATAGGGTCAAGACGATAAGAGCCAATTGGAGATTCATTCTATTGGTGCTGAAGGTTATGTTTTTGATTGTAGCTGTTTGTCTGCAGGTGCAAGATGGATATGTCTCTGTCTTTGAGAAAATAGTCCCAGTCGCATTATTCTTCCTTCTGTTAGTCCTGAAGTACTTTATTTATAGAAATAAGACTGTTGCTAGATATGGAGCTGTAATCATAATTCTGCTATTAGGGTTTGTGATCACTAACATAAACATAGGATTCATTCATTTTAGGTAAGCTAGCATAACTTTGAAATTAGAGTACGCTTAATTATGTATTTTAAAATTGTCCAAAATCATTAGAAGAAATATTGGCTATTCCATATTTTATAGAATAAGACCTGTTTCGTTCAAGAAATTTTTTCTATATTTCTGAAAGTCCTAGTGAATTATTAATATATCTTTTCCTTTAATATTTCTAATTGTAAAATAGGGTTTATGAAGCCTTCTTATTTCACCTATCAGCATCTTTTCTGCTTTCAGCATGCCTAGTGTCAAACTGGAAAGTGTCCTGAGCAGCACTTTTATTGGTTTATGTTAACCTCTATGTTATGCTAAGAATACACTTTGACTCTGTTCCATTAACAGTTCTACTTGCATTAGGATCTTCCATGGTTCCATTTGGAATCAGTGGCTTCTTGATATCAAGAAATTTCAAGCAAGAGTTCTTATCGACCTTTATTGCTCGACAAGCTTCATCACAACTGAAGAAGATTCTGGAAGGATTGCCTGAAGGAGTCACTATCATGAATGAGAAAGGTGACGAACTTAAGTTTATCAACCAAAAACTCAAGCAGACTTTTGATGTGTCCTCTTTTGTACTAACCAACAAAGAAAATTTAGAGCTGGCTCAAACCAAAGAAGCTATCGATAAATTACTTGATGAAATCTATTCCAAAGTCGTGGATAACACTTTAGACTCTGAAGATCCCCTAGCACTGACAGATAATATCCTGAACAACTTTCTTGTCAAGATGAAGAAAGACAAAATTGAAGAAGGCAAAGGAGAAGACCCTGATATTCATATTGAAGATTACGAAGATATACCTCTATCACATTTTCTTCAAGAAGAAAGAGAATTATGTAAGAATATGATAGCCAATGAGAGGAGTACAAAAGTCTCTGTGTTATATGACAGGAAATATTTGGGAAAAGAATTTCAGTATTTACATAGAGATTTTATTGTGAAGACTTCAAAAATTGATGTGGTAGATAACTATGACAAGCATCCAACTTTTCTCCAGATGTTCATTGACACTACCCAGATTACTCAGCTTGAAGAGGCCAAGGCTCAGAGTAACTATCAGAGACAAATGCTCTCTAATGTGTCTCATGAATTCAGGACTCCTCTCAATGCAATGTCTCTGTCGCTGCACCTGATGAAGGCCCACATCACCGAAGACTTAGCCAAGTTCCACAAGATTGCGTCTGCTTCGTGAGACATCTTGGGAGGGCTGGTGGAAGATATTTTGGATTTCTCGAAGATCGAGGCTGGGGTGTTCGAAGTACATGAGACAGTATTTACTTTCGGGCAACTCTTTGACGAAGCCAAATCTATCTTTGAGATGCAAACACAAATGAAAGGCATAAGTTTAAACTTGGAAATGCAAAATATTTTTCAAAAGCTTAAAGTGAAGACTGACAAAGGTAGACTCAAGCAAATATTATTGAACTTGCTATCAAATTCTTTAAAGTTTACAGATAGAGGATCAATTAATGTAGAATTGAAAATTCAAGAGACTAAAGAACTTACTCAAGAAGAAATAATAGACTGTAAGTAAAATATATAAATTTAGTTGATTTCGAAAAGACTATTTCATCTAAATTTATTGATGAAATGGCTGTCTGTAATCTCTTGCTTGTCACTGACAACTACATGTCAGCTACAAACCCGTCCAAGTTCAATCCAGATTTGAATGTCTCTGAACCTGTGAACTCAGAATCTGAACTAGATCTTGAAGAACAAGAGACAGTGACTTCTGAATTCACCAAAGAACTCAAAGTAGAACTCATTATCTCGGACTCTGGCATCGGAATTCCAGAGTGAGACCTCCCTTCTCTGTTCAAGGTGTTCGGCAAAACCCGGTCGAACCACAACAGAAACCAGACTGGGACTGGACTTGGGCTGACCATCTGCAAGAAACTGTGTGAGAAGCTGGGCGGAAAGATCAGTTTGAAGTCGCAGGAAGGAGTTGGCACAGAAGTGACTTGTTCACTCACATGTTTGTACTAGAATTTAAATATTTAAGCATTTCAGTTATATAATATCATCTCGGGGTTTTGGGGTTTTGGGGTTTTGGGGTTTTGGGG